GGTGCTCTTTCCCCAGCACGTGGAGGAAGGAGGCCCAGCCCAGGAAGCAGGACTCTGTGCTGGAGATCTCATCACTCACGTGAATGGGGAGCCTGTGCATGGCATGGTGCATCCTGAGGTCGTGGAGCTGATCCTTAAGGTGAGTGCAGGGAAAGAGGCACCCTGGGCGGAGGGTGGGGCAGGCCTGAGCAGCCCCAGCAGGGCATTTCCCCCTTTTCTTCCCCCAGAGTGGCAACAAGGTAGCAGTGACCACAACGCCCTTCGAAAATACCTCTATCCGAATCGGCCCTGCAAGGCGCAGCAGCTACAAGGCCAAAATGGCTCGGAGGAACAAGCGGCCCTCTGCCAAAGAGGGCCAGGAGAGGTTGGCACAGCTGTAAACTGCCTGGTCTTTGAGGAGCGGGTGGAACTCAGGTGGGAGGGGCACAGATGAGGTCAGCGCAGGGAAGAGCACGGGAAAGGTGCTGGGAACAACAGACCGACAATCAAAGTGAAGAGGACAGACAAGAGGGGCTGGGATGACTCAAACCTGTAATCGCAGCAGTTTGGGAGGCTGAGGGAGAAGGATCACTAGAGCCCAGGAGTCGCAATTAGCCTGGGCAACATAGGGCGACCCCATCTCTACAAAAAGCTTTAAAAACTAGCTGGGCTTGGTGGCACATGCCTGTGGTCCCAGCTACTGGGAGGTTGAGGTGGAAGGATCACTTGAGTCCCAGGTGGTCGAGGCTGCAGTGAGCTCTCATCTCACCACTGCAGTCCAGCCTGGACAACAGAGCCAGACTCTGTCTCAAAAAAAAAAAAAAAAAAAAAAAAAAGGCTGTAAAAGTGGGAGGAGCCAAGAACAAAAGCTGTGCCAGGTTTCTAGGATCAGAGAAATGCATTGTAGGAGGGTATTGCACATGTAGGCAGGCCCAGCAGATGCGGACTGGAAAGAAAGATGTCCAAAGACGGAGGGCGTCCAGGAGATCGTCCTATCCTGTTAGATGTGTTTAGACTGAACTGGGAGGGACTTAGAAATATCTGTCTGGAATGAGTATTCCAGGCAAGATGCAGCCAACTGAAATCCTATCTTCCCTTATAGATAGGAGGACCTAGGAGGGAGGTGGGTGGGGCCAGAAAATTTCTATTTTGATCAGTGAGTTTGGCCCAAACAAGTACAGGGATTTGGGTGAGAAGAGCCAGACGTGGCTGAGTTAAGTACATTTCTCCCCGCACTTATAGCTGGGTTGTGGTGGAAGAGGGGGACTAGGGGCGGGTGGGACCAGGTTGGTTTTGTTTGGATGTATTTCTAGCCTGGACTGGGAGTGGCCAAAAGGTTGGGCGGAGCCTGAAGTGGGAGGAAGGAGGAGCCAAGCAGCACTGAGCTAAGGGAAGTTCTGTCGTGATAGCTGGGTTTTTTTCTTTTTTCTTTTTTTTTTTTTTGGGGGGGACGGAGTTTCGCTCTTGTTACCCAGGCTGGAGTGCAATGGCGCGATCTTGGCTCACCGCAACCGCCGCCTCCTGGGTTCAGGCAATTCTCCTGCCTCAGCCTCCTGAGTAGCTGGGATTACAGGCACGCGCCACCATACCCAGCTAATTTTTTGTATTTTTAGTAGAGACGAAGTTTCACCGTGTTGACCAGGATGGTCTCGATCTCTTGACCTCGTGATCCACCCGCCTCGGCCTCCCAAAGTGCTGGGATTACAGGCTTGAGCCACCGCGCCCGGCTCTTTTTTTTTTTTTTTTTAAGACAGGGGTTTCACCATGTTGGTCAGGCTGGTCTTGAACTCCCAACCTCAGGTGATCCGCCCACCTTGGCCTCCAAAGTGCTTGGATTACAGGCGTGAACCACCACGCCCAGCCAATAGCTGGGTTGTAGTGAAAGACGTAGGGACTAGAGGGGTGGGCAGGACCTGAAGTGGTGGCTTTTGGCCGGGAGAGGTGGGTCACACCTGTAATCCCAGCACTTTGGGAGGCCGAGGTGGGTGGATCACCTGAGGTCAGGAGTTTGAGACCAGCCTGACTAACATGTGAAACCCCATCTCTACTAAAAATACTAAAATTAGCTGGAAGTGGTGGCTCACTCTTGTAGTCCCAGCTGCTCAGGAGGCTACTCTGGAGGCTGAGTCACGAGAATCGCTTGAACCTGGAAGGGAGAGTTTGCAGTGAGCCAAGATCGTGCTATTGCACTCCAGCCTGGGCGACTCACGCCTGTAATCCTAGCACTTTGGGAGGCCAAGGCAGTTGGATCACCTGAGGTCAGGAGTTCGAGACCAACCTGGCCAACATGGTGAAACCCCGTCTCTACTAAAATACAAAAATTAGCTGAGCGTGTTGGCGGGCACCTGTAATCTCAGCTACTGAGGGGGCTGAGGAAGGAGAATCGCTTGAACCCAGGAGGCAGAGGTTGCAGTGAGCCGAGATCACGCCATTGCACTCCAGCCTGGGCGAGAAGAGCAAGACACTGTCTTAAAAAAAAAAAAAAAAGAGTTGGTTGGTTTTGTTTGGATGGGTGTTTGTTGCCTGGATTGGAAGTGGCCTAACGTTGGGCGGGGCCTGAAGTGGGAGGAGCCAAGAAGTACTGCATTCAGGGAAGTTCTGTCTTGATAGGTGGGTTGTAGTGGAGGACGGAGGAGCTAGAGAGGTGGCAGGGTAGAATAGGTTGGTTTTGTTTGGATGGGTGTTTCTAGCTTGGACTACTAGAGACCAAAGAGGGTGGGTGGGGACTATAGTGGGAGGAGCCAAGCAGCACTGAGCTTAAATAAGTTTTGCCTTGATTGGTGGGTTGTAGCTGAGAGGGAGGGGGCAGAAGGGGTGGGCGGTTACAGGCGCTGTTGTGAGGCCCTGAAGTGGGAAGAGCCCTGAGCTCTGGCTCCCGGGTCAAGGATGCGTGGCTCTCTCCCCGTCCCGCAGCAAGAAGCGCAGCTCCCTGTTCCGGAAGATCACTAAGCAGTCGAACCTGCTGCATACTAGCCGCTCTCTGTCGTCGCTGAATCGCTCGCTGTCGTCCAGCGACAGTCTCCCGGGCTCGCCCACGCACGGGCTGCCTGCGCGCTCACCCACGCACAGCTACCGCTCCACGCCTGACTCCGCCTACCTAGGTATTAGCTCCTGCACCTTCCGCTGGGACCGAGCGGCGCAGGGTGGCCCGGGTGGTGCTCCGGCTGTACTCACTTGCTCCACCTGTTCTCGCCCGCAGGCGCCTCGTCCCAGAGCAGCTCCCCAGCCTCGAGCACGCCCAACTCGCCCGCGTCGTCTGCGTCGCACCACATTCGGCCCAGCACGCTGCACGGGCTGTCGCCAAAGCTCCACCGCCAGTACCGCTCTGCTCGATGCAAGTCAGCCGGCAACATCCCTCTGTCGCCGCTGGCACACACGCCGTCCCCCACGCAGGCGTCACCGCCGCCGCTGCCTGGCCACACGGTGGGCAGCTCGCACACGACGCAGAGCTTCCCGGCCAAACTGCACTCCTCGCCTCCTGTTGTGCGCCCACGCCCCAAGAGTGCCGAGCCCCCTCGCTCACCTCTCCTCAAGCGCGTGCAGTCGGCGGAGAAGCTGGGAGCCTCCATGAGTGCGGACAAGAAGGGCGCGCTGCGCAAGCACAGCCTTGAGGTGGGCCACCCGGATTTCCGAAAGGACTTCCACGGCGAGCTGGCGCTGCATAGCCTTGCCGAGTCCGATGGCGAGACGCCCCCTGTCGAGGGCCATGGTGCGCCCCGGCAGGTCGCTGTCCGCCGCCTGGGCCGACAGGAGTCACCTTTAAGCATGGGCCCGGACCCGTTGCTGCCTGAGGGTGCCTCCAGGCCGCCAGCGTCAAGCAAGGAGAAGGAATCCCCGGGGGGCGCCGAGGCCTGCACCCCGCCCCGTGCGACGACCCCCGGGGGCCGGACCCTGGAGCGGGACGTCTGCTGCACGCGGCATCAGAGCGTGCAGACGGAGGATGGCACTGGCGGGGTGGCCAGGGCTGTGGCTAAGGCGGCGCTGAGCCCAGTGCAGGAACACGAAACGGGCAGGCGCAGCAGCTCTGGCGAGGCGGGCACGCCCCCAGTACCCATTGTCGTAGAGCCTGTGCGGCCTGGGGCTAAGGCTGAGGCGCCCCAGCCTCTGCGAGCGGACTCCAAGGGGTTACAGGAACCCACACCCCTGGCGCCTGCTGTGCCCGAGGTACCCCGGGGCCGGGAGCGCTGGGTGCTGGAGGTGGTGGAGGAGCGAACCACGCTGAGCGGGCCTCGCTCCAAGCCCGCCTCCCCCAAGCTCTCCCCGGAGCCCCAGACACCCTCCCTAGCCCCAGCAAAGTGCAGTGCGCCCAGCAGTGCAGTAACCCCAGCCCCACCGGCTTCCCTCTCGGGCCCGGGCACCAAACCTGAAGTGGGGCTGACCTCCCGGTGCCCTGCTGAAGCTGTGCCCCCAGCAGGCCTGACCAAAAAAGGGGTATCCAGTCCTGTGCCCCCAGGCCCATAGCCAAGGGGGGCGTTGGCCCCGCGCTGTACAGCTGCCTGTATACATATGTACACATATAAATAAAGTGCGTCTGTGCTTCGTGAGTTTTCTGGGGCTCACTCCTCCCCAGGCAAGGTGAGCTATCACACGACCCCAGCCCCATGCCCAGGTGCATTTTTGGAGGTGGGACTCCAGTTCTGGTTATTATGGAAAGTGGAGGGAATTTTGGATAGACACCTCCTGTGGCCCTACTTCTGGTCTCACCTCTTCACCAACTGCCCCCCAAAACTTTAGGGGGAGAATTGATGCTGCAATACTCTTGTGTCACAGAGCCCACCCCAGGAAAAAGTTAACTACCTCATCTGCCGATTTCCTTTTATTTATTATTATTATTATTATTATTATTATTATTTTGAGACGGAGTTTCGCTCTTGTTGCCCAGTCTGGAGTGCAATGGCACAATCTCGGCTCACCACAACCTCTACCTCCCAGGTTCAAGAGATTCTTCTGCCTCAGCCTCCTGAGTAGCTGGCATTACAAGCATGTGCCACCACACCCAGCTAATTTTGTATTTTTTAGTAGAGACGGGGTTTCTCCATGTTGGTCAGGCTGGTCTCAAACTTCTGACCTAAGACGATCCGCCCACCTTGGCCTCCCGAAGTGTTGGGATTACAGGCATGAGTCCCTGCACCCGGCTCCGTTTATTTACTCCTCAACAATCCTGATGGCAGGTATTACGTTTCTCATTTTGCAGACAGATAGACTGTGTCACAGAGCGGTTAAGGCACACAAAGGTCATATAGCCAGGAAGGGGCTGAGCTGGGATTCCAAAGTGCCGTGATTGCATGCGTGAGTCACTGCAACTGGCCATGAGGCTTAGATCTTACCAGCTATTGCAGGGCTGCCATTTCTTTACCAGGGGCTGGAAGGCCTTCCAGAGGGCTGGCAGCTGGGCACACAGTGTGCCCCCACCCCGCTGCTCCTCTCCCTGGTTTCGATTCATGTCACCCACACAGGTCCAGGGCCCAAGTGGGGACACACACCATTTGGAGTGGTCCTCTGTGCTGCTGAAACTTGGGCTGGCTGGTCCAGGGAAGGCTATCTGGTTCACATTCAGAACCTGCCAGGTCCCTGAGCAGTTGGAGGGCAGGATGCCTGTACCCTTTTGCCAGAACTGGACCTGCAGGTTGGTACCAAGGGCTGCTGCCAACCAGCCAGAGTATAGGTCTGCAAAGGATGGAGAGAGGGCACAGATAGGTTCAGGGCCACAGCTAGAGAGTCCCTAGACCACTTCCCCTCTCTCAACTCAGTTTCCAAATTTCTCTTTTGAGACAGAGTCTTGCTCTGTCTCTCAGGCCTGGAGTGCAGTGGTGCAATCTTGGCTCACTGTAATGTCCACCTCCCGAGTTCAAGTGATTCTCCTGCCTCAAGCCTTCTCTTGAGTAGCTGGGGTTACAGGCATCCACCACCATGCCCAGCTAATTTTTGTATTTTTAGTAGAGACAGGGTTTCTTTTCTTTTTTTTTTTTTAGAGACGGGGTTTCACCATGTTGGTCAGGCTGGTCTTGAACTCCCGACCTCAGGTGATCCTCCCGCTTTGGCCTCCAAAGTGCTTGGATTACCGGCGTAAGCCACCACGTTCGACCTGAGACAGGGTTTCACCATGTTGCCCAGGCTTGTCTTGGACTCCAGTCCTCAAATAATCCTCCTGCCTCAGCTTCCCAGATAACTGGGATTATAGGAGTGAGGCACCACCCCTGGTGCCCAAATGCCTTATATGCACCACTTCATTCACAACACTCCTTTAAGTAGATGTCAGTATCCCCATTTTTCAGATGAGTAGACTGAGGCTCAGGTGAAATTTATATCACACAGCCAGAACCCAGAGTCTGAACCCAGGTCTGTTCAACTCTCATGTGATTATGGCTCCCAAACAGACCCAGTCTCTACCCTTGACTTGCACTCAGCCATGGCCACACCAGTCACCCACTCTACAGAGAAGAAGCTCTCCACCTCTCAACCTCAGGGCTCACCATCTCCAAATTTGCAGAACTTGGCAAAGCTCTGGAAAACAGCCCCGGCCCGGGATGTGAGTGTGATGCTGCTGTTCCACGGTTCTTGGCCAATGTGGTGGCCATTGATCACATTCTCCAAGTCGGGGAATTCCTGGGCAAAGACCCCTTCCAGCTGGTAGCTGTAGACCATGGGGTAGGTGTAGGTCAGTTGCTTGCCTGGAGGACAAGGGGAGGAGGAAATGTGAGATCATTCCAGGCTCTAGTCAGGAAACCCATGACTCACGCCGTGTCCCTGACTCCACTCACCAATCTTCGAGAATTGGCTGAAGGGAAAAGACACACAGAGCAGGGTCTGCCCGTAGGTATGGGCACTTTGAGGCCAGCTGTATGCATCAGGTGGAGGGAATTGGGGTACACTGTGGACCAGCCAGAAGCCCCCATCGTGGTCAAGAAGCAGGACACCTGGACCAAAAGAAGGCAATTAGAGGAGGCTGGGTGAGGTGGCTCATGCCTGTAATGCCAGCACTTTGGGAGCCTGAGGCGGGTGGATCATGAAGTTAGGAGTTCAAGACCAGCCTGGCCTAGATGGTGAAACCTTGGCTCTACTAAAAATACAAAAGTTAGCCAGGCATGGTGGTGGGCACCTGTAATCCCAGCTACTCAGGAGGGTGAGGCAGGAGAATTGCTTGAATCTGGGAAGCAGAGGTTGCAGTGAGCTGAGATTGCACTCCAGCCTGGGCAACAAGAGCAAGACTCCATCTCAGGAAAAAAAAAAAAAAAAAAATGGAGGCCAGGAGAGGTGGCTCACGTCTGTAATCCCAGCACTTTCGGAGGCCGAGGTGGGTGGAACACCTGAAGTCAGGAGTTCAGGACCAGCCTGGCCAACACAGTGAAACCCCGTTTCTACTAAAAAATACAAAAATTAGCTGGGTGTGGTGGTATGCATCTGTAATCCCAGCTACTCCAGAGGCTGAGGCAGAAGAATTGCTTCAACCCAGGAGACAGAGGTTGCAGTGAGCTGAGATTGTGCCACTGCACTCCAGCCTGGGTGATAGAGTGAGACTGTAGAAAATAATAATAATAATTAAAAAATAAAAATAAAAAAGCCAGACGTGGCGGCAGGCACCTGCAGACCCAGCTACTTTGGAGGCTGAGGTAGGAGGATCACCTGAGCCCTGGGAGGTCAAGGCTGCAGTGAGCTGTGATACTGCTCTCCAGCTTAGGTGATGCTGGGTGAGACCTTGTCTCAAAGAAAATAAAAGAGGAGGCAGGCGCAGTAGCTCATGCCTGTAATCCTAGCACTTTGGAAGGCCAAGGTGAGCGGATCATGAGATCAAGGGATCGAGACGATCCTGGTCAACATAGTGAAACCCCATCTTGACTAAAAGTACAAAAAATTAGCTGGGCATGGTGGTGCGCACCTGTAGTCCGAGCTACTCGGGAGGCTGAGGCAGGAGAACCACTTGAACCCAGGAGG